TCAAATTAGATCATTAGACGTTGAGATATTATGTCCTAAAGTGACCGATTTATTGTATTTGGGGCATGAAAGTTTATAAACATACAATACCCGATATAGAAGCTCTATCAATTTATAAAAAGTATCAATGATCAGCATTTGTAATGTTCTTTGTACTCGGAAAATTTTGGTACATTAAACATAATCTACAAAAAGTTATGGGGGGTAGGTTACTTCTGACTAGCACTGTATAATCAATGATTTTCTGAGTATTTATACGAGCATTCTAAATATAGAGACACGCTGTTTTTTTCGCAACGTAGAATCAGAAGTCAAACATATATTCACTCTTAATGCCTTATATCTCGAAAAAAATAAAGTTCGTCTGGGCATTGTCTTTTATTTCTTTTTACATATCGGTATGCTGTCCACAAGTAATTCTACCGAAATCGAAAATTAAAAAAATCATAGCAATATAGAAAAGCAAAATGGAATCTACAAGACAGCTCGTCCAGAAACTCTCATAAAAAAGATTAGTAGCGTAAAACTGCTTTTGTGTCCCTCTTGCAAGGAAGCCGTTACTCTTCAAACAGAATTTGTTAGGCTGATCTGCGGTCATATATTTCATAGCACTTGTTTAGAGAACAATACTGGCTGTCCAGTTTGTTCAGAGAAGCTGGTATCTAGAAAAAAACGCAAATCCCAGGCTAAATGCATCAAGATAACTCAGGAACTTCTTAATGAGAACCAGTAATAGAGTATCGCCCCTCCTTCTTGAAAGGATTAGAGCTCGATGCCTTCTTTCGAGAAAATCAAATTGCATTAGAAGTGCAAGGAAAACAGCATCGGTATTACCACACTAGCTGGTATAAGGATGTCAAAAACTCGAAGACATTGTTAATCGTAATCGGCAAAAAAGATCCATATGCTAGGATAATGGAATCTTCTTCCTTGAAGTATGGTACGATGAAAAACCAGAAATCGTTATTTCTAGAAAGATCTGTATTTTTACTGAAAGCGAGGCTGATGAAACGAAGTCTCAAAGCTTCCTCGTTATCAACAACACCAGGCAGGCTTAAAGTTTATCGCAATTCTGCTAGTATTTCGAATTCCTGATGCACAGACTCAATAAAATACAAAATCTCTATTTTATTAATTTATAATATTAGGTCCAATGGACTGGACCACACCTAACAAACCAGGTTCAATTGACAACCCTAGCCACGGCAAAAAAGTGTCGGTTACGTGATTCCGATCCCCCTTAAAATCATGCATCAATCAAATCGCAAGGTCAATGTGTAACGCAAAAAATTGAAAACAAACGCTAGTTTGTTTCTTGAAATCTTACTTATGAAACAATTATTTGTGTTCTAACGAAAAATGTTTCTTGCGAAATTTTACTATATACTATGTTCACATTTATTATACAGAGGCCTCCCAGAATATTATGGACACTTTTTAAAATACAATAATGCAAAAATCAATAAAAAAGCAAGATTTATGATTCTAAGCTAATAGAATCATTGAAACATATTGTATATTATATTAAAATTTTAAGTAATTTCAATAACTAGTTCAAAAAATATATATAAATATATA